AAAATTAACCACATTTAATTGAATTAAAACTGTAAAAATAAATTTAGAATTAAAAAAATGAAATTTAAATTTTGTAAAAAGCAGTTTATAAATTGATAAATTTTATTTTTGCACCCTGTGTTAAGCAATATGCTATAAATCTAGCTTATTTTTATAAGATTTATATAGAAAATGATAATTTTTAGAGAAATGCATCTTAAATTATGGATAAATTATGCATTGAAGGAATTGGGGAGTGTGTGGTTTCAGATTGGTTACATTGGTTAAAAAAAGTGATTGGCAAGCTCATTCCAGAGCTCTCTAAGGGGCCCAAGATTCACCGGCCATGGGATTCGAACAAGCACCATAGTAGCCTATTGCTCATATGGACCACACATTATATGTTTTGATGTTTCAGCAAAGGATTGATGCTGTAGTAATCAGTATGTAAATATTCACTATTGTCCTGTATTTAAATACAAGAAGAACTAACAATTGAACAGGACAAATGTGATTTATATTTTGGAAATATAGGCATTTTCAGTGTAGTGAAACTTGATGTTTTGCTGTGTTGCAGAATGTATTTGCTAGTAATATATACACATAAAAGATTTTCTAGTCATTAAACAGTGTATTTTATGGATAATTGGCTCATTTAGAATAACACAGTTGATATAATTGTTGTTGTTGTTGTTGTTGTAGCTGCTACAGCAGTTAAATTAGGTTAGGTTTATAATGTCTTAACTGCTATTTTCATGCAGGCATGCATTTTTCAGAACACAATATTCATATAAACTCTCCTGTGTGAATTAACAAATCTAGCCATTTATTAATTAAGACATTATTTTCTTTCTTTTTCAGATATTAGAATTACAGCATAAATGCCCCTTATAATTTTCTTAAGCATGTACTAGTGTTGCATATTTTTTCAGACCATGCAGTTACCAAAGCCTGGGTTTGAGTATATGACCTAACCTTATCCTGGTAAAGATCTATAGAAGGACTCCTTCACCTCTGTTTGGCAGCAGCTTTGTCAGGACACATTGAGAAGGTAATAACTTATGTCTAGTTTGAAACTTCAGCTATTGGCGGTAGCGCCTCCCAATGCTCGGGTAATATTTGGTAGTTATTTTGATGTATTTCAGGAGAAAATTTCTCTAATTCTGACTATATTAAGACTTCTCAATGATTTAAAGTGGGGGACAGTATGTGTCATCTTTTTAAAGCCTTATTTGTGTGAGAGTTGGCTAATCTTACTTTGTCAGAAGACATAGCCCATGGTGATATGGTAACCTCTTTGCTAACCTTAAGATTACCTCTGTTTGTCTTTATTGATATCTTAAGCAAACAATGTAGGGTGTGTATGTTGGTTCTTAACTTTATTTACCATGGTATATAGGTAAAAATCATAATCAGTAAGTTTTATTACAATATTGAAGGAAAAAAATTTGAAAAAAGCACATTTAATTGTGATTACTTGTATTTTAACCCAAAATTTCATGCTCTCATTTAAAGAAATGGAGTTTCTATTACAATTTTTAAGCAATAAGGTCTTATTCTTTCATAGAAGTAACTGTATGACATTAGCCGGTAACATTAAACTTTATTCAAAGAAAATCCATTTACAGAATCAAAAGATATGACAGAATTTGCAATATAAATTTTTGCGAAAAAATTCTATTGGCCGAGCCTGACTTTTCGCATGAAGGTTCATATTTAAGAAATTGTACCGCATTAATGTAATTTGTTAGAGACATGTCAAACCTATATGACTGTATTTGTATAACACTAAATTACTAGGAAATGAGTATAAAGTTTGGCTTAACTTAAATTTTGGATTCATTTAGGTCTCAACCCGGTACGGAATTAGACCCAGCCCATTGTAGTCTAGAAAGTAGTTCTTTAAAATTATGAAATGGCCCAATTTAAGTCATCTCTAGTTAGATTGTTCATAATTAAAGTGTATTTATTGCATGTGTGTAGTTTTTGTGTGTTATATGATGACTTTAAAAGTTGTTTTTTGTGTATTCTCCAGGAACTCATTTGTTGGTGGAAGGATTAAAGATGTACTACCCACCAGCTGTCAGGAGTTTTTAAAGTGGTGAATTTAAACAGTGTTACAACAGAATGAAGATTTCTGAAAAAAGTAGATGGCTAACCTATTATATTTTGGGCATCATTTGACTTAGATAGTGTTAATGTTTAAAGTTGAAGACAGTATATAATTCATCAAGAACATTGGAATCCAGAATTAAACCTCAAATTTGACTGATTTACTATAGAACTAATAGTACGAAAATTCACCGGGCCGAGTCCATATGGAGTGTAATAGCGAACTCAATGCTTTCGGCCTTTTTTTAAAATGAAATTGAAATAAAACAATTATTTCTTTACAAGAAAATAATTAAATATCATTGTATGCATAATTCCATAAAAAAAAATAAATACACAAGTTTACGCAGAAAATAACCTTAGGCCTATTTATTATGGAAGATTCCACTACGTCTGTTTGAATTTTATTGATTTTCATTATTAACAATTTATTTTTTTGAATAATTTGCAATAGATATTAAATAAATATTTATTATTTTCAAAAACATCATTTTTTCACCTTAAAAGGTTAAATAATGATAGAAAAATAGAAATATCTCTTAAATGTGTTATGTACATGTACTTCATTTGGTGTAATTCACCAAAGCTAAAACGGTAACATACCGGAAAACGGTGTTTATTTATGTTTTCGAAAAGGTCAATTGACCTTTCGAAAACCTAAGCTATAAGCTAAATGTCACGGTTCAGAACTGTTCACTATATAGGGGAGAAGATGTGTAAGCGGCCGGATAGCTCAGTCGGTGGAGCTGCGGTACGGTATTCCGAGGGTCCCGGGTTCGAGTCCCGGTTAGGCTGCACATTTTTCTCACCCTGTGACATTTGGCGCCCAACGTGGGGCCGTGATGATAATAAGCTCCGAGTACAATTTCACATTGTTCTCTTTACCCATTAGAAATTTGAGGACGAATTTCATTATAGCGGGGCAGTATGTCACGGTTCAGAACTGTTCACTATATGGGGGAGAAGATGTGTAAGCGGCCGGATAGCTCAGTCGGTAGAGCCGCGGTACGGTATTCCGAGGGTCCCGGGTTCGAGTCCCAGTCAGGCTGCACATTTTTCTCACCCTGTGACATTAACACCATTTTCCGGTACCTTATAGATTTAGCTCTGGGGAATTAAAACCAATGAAGTACATATCCCTATCATGTGATATTTCCATTTTTCTATCATTATTTTACCGTTTATGGTGGAAAAATTTGATGTGTATGAAAATTATTAATGTTCCTGTTCTATCTATCGCAAATTTTACCCAAAAAAAATTATAATAAAAATCTGTAGAATTAAAACAGTTGTTGTTGCATCCGCCATAATAGATATTTTCTGCAGAAACTAGAATTCAGGGGTCAATAAGGTTCTGAGGAGATTGAAACATTCGTTTTACTCTGAATTGTTGATGTTGTACTTGTTTTTAATTAAGGCACATGACCACCATATTTCTAGGTAACAACATTACGTTACAAAACACTAAATCAATTATAATACTTAACAGAAACTTTTTAATTATTTTATTTTTGTATTGAATTATTCAACGAACTGTATTGAACTCAGTGAATTATCTTTGTCATTTGGCCATAAGCTCAATATTCTTAAAGGGTATTAGAATACCAGTCCACCGTTTACATTTCAGAAATTCTTATCTAGAGATAAAAGAAATTATTTAAAGTTCCCATCTGAGTCACTGCAGTGAGTCATGATGCATATGTTTTAATATGATCAAACAGGCTATTGAAAATGCCTGATCGCGCTTGTGACATAAAAATCATATCTAAACAAAAATAATAAAGATATTAATATCTTTTAAATTTAGTTTTAAACTTAGTTTGTTTATTGGGCAAAATATATGACATAAACAGAAAGAAAAATGATAAAACTAAAAGTTTGCTCTCAGTCTTGTTGTTGACATGTCATTTTTTGACGATTGATGGTGGCCATTTTCAGACCGGGCATAATAATAATCAAAAGCTTGTAACAATACCGTATTTGTGATATCTTTTGGCGCTGTTTATTAAAAAGAAACAATTTGTTAAAATTTTTGATATTTATGATTGGTGATGTATAAAGAGCTTTAGATGTATTTGAATCATGATGAGTTTATTTGGAACAGGGTATTATCTGTCAAACAAACTCATATATTTATATTTATTATGAATGATATAAAAGAGAGATAACTCTTTATTTGACTTATCACCATTATTTGGTTAGGATTGTTGCTGTTTATTATTACACAGCAAATACGGAATTTTTTTGCAAATCAGTAACTGTTTAAGCTTCATGGTGCATTAGTAATCCACTCATGAAAAAAATTAAATTTGTATTAAAAATATCTATCTAATTTTGACTTACATGTATCTAACATTTGCAAAAAGGCTGCAAAATAAATCAACATTCTTGCTAGACTGAGTAAATTCTTTAATCAAAATACTAGATTGTTAATTTACAAATCCTTTGTTCCTTCAAACTTTAACTATTGTCCTTTAGTTTGGCATTTTTGTAGTAAACAAAATACTGAAAAACTTGAAAAGTTACAACATAGATCATTGAAGATAGTTTTTGAGGATTAAAGCTCATCATATGAATTTCTTTTAAGTAAAGCTAATATGCCAAAATTACATATCAGTAGATTAAGACAATTAGGTATTGAAGTTTTTATATGTTTACAAAATATATCACCACAATATATGTTCAAGAACTTATTACAGTAAATTTATCTTATTATTATTTTAGAAATACCAACACACTTGAAGTTTCTAGAGTAAACACAGAGACTTATGGTAAGAAAAGCTTTCGTTATTAGGCAACCCAGGTCTGGAATAGCTGCAGAATGAACTAAGAACAGAAACTGATTACGGTGAATTTCGGAGGCTTATCCAGACCTGGAGTGGCTTCAAATGCAAATGTTCTATGTGTGCCTAAGTGGTATGTTTTTTGTTGAGTTTTGCAATGTGAATCAAGTGAATCTGCATGCTTCTTTTGTTTTTTCTTTATTTTGTCTGCCATAAAGAAATGCTGTATAAGGCCTGTATCTTTTGTTTTATATTATCCTTTTTATGTATTGTCCAGGTCAAGCAAATATAACTGGCAAGACGAACTTGTTTGGTATGAGATAAAACACAACACTTAGGTTGAATGAAATAGGGCATTTATTAAATATATACATATATGTTTTTGTGCCCCCACGTTAGTGGCGGGCATTTAGATTTACCCTTGTCCGTCCGTCCGTCTGTCCGTCCGTCCTTCCATCCGTCCGTTCACTTTTGTGTCGCACGTAACTCAAAAAGTATTTGACCTAGAGTCATGAAACTTTACAGGAATGTTGATCAGCATGTGTAGTTGTGCACCTGGGTATTTTCATGTGGATATTTTTAGTATTTTCAGAGTTATTGCCCTTGACTTAGTAAAATTTTGCAATTTTCAACTTGTGTCGCATGTAACTCAAAAAGTATTTGACCTAGAGTCATGAAACTTTACAGGAATGTTGATCAGCATGTGTTGTTGTGCATCTGGGTATTTTCGTGTGGATATTTTTAGTATTTTCAGAGTTATTGCCCTTGACTTAGTAAAATTTTGCAATTTTCAACTTGTGTCGCACGTAACTCAAAAAGTATTTAACCTAGAGTCATGAAACTTAACAGGAATGTTGATCAGCATGTGTAGTTGTGCACCTGGGTATTTTCGTGTGGATATTTTTAGTATTTTCGGAGTTATTGCCCTTGACTTAGTAAAATTTTGCAATTTTCAACATGTGTCGCACGTAACTCAAAAAGTATTTGACCTAGAGTCATGTTACTTTACAGGAATATTGATCAGCATGTGCAGTTGTGCACCAGGTATTTTCGTCTGGATTTATTTAGTATTTTTAGAGTTATTGCCCTTCACTTAGAAAATTCTTGCAATTTTCAACTTGTGTCGCAAGTTACTCAAAAAGGATTTGACATAGTCATTAAACCTTATGGGCAGGTTGCTCAGCATATTTAAATTTGCACCTGGGGTTTTGCTTGTGGATTTATCCAGTATTTGTAGAGTTATTTCCCTTGACTTAGTAAAAAGATTGACAGAACAGTGGCGCGGTGGGGGCACCCGTGTCCTATGGACACATTTCTAGTTTCTTTTCAAATAAGGTCTCCCCGCATGACTTTGTCTAGGCCAGCTCTGATCAGCAACTGTTACACAAACATTTCAAATTTTATTATGACGCTTGTACATGTTTTAGTTACACCCATATTTTCATGATTGAGTATATATCAGATGCTGCTACTGATATATACTCAAGCATCATGCTGGACTTTAGGTCAACCATATTAAAATTGAGATTGAATCATTATTATTTTAAATTTATTTTTAAATTTTGAATTTTAAAAAAAAATGATTCTATTTCTGATTTTAGGGTTGTGTACATAAAATGGAATTCTTGTATGATGTAATTTTCTGTGATGTTTGATTGTAGTGTTATATTTGCTTTTAATCAATTAATATTATCATACCCATATTTATATGCAGTATGTATCACAAAGTCTTCATATTTCACATAGTGATTGGTCATAACTAGTAGATGTCCCCTATTGATTTTGGGGTCACTAGGTCAAAGGTCAAGGTCACAGGGACCTTAAATATCAAAATGGTTTCCGCTGATTATCTTGAACAGTATGTATCACAAAGTCTTCAAATTTCACACAGTGATTGGTCATAACTAGTTGATGACCCCTATTGATTTTGGGGTCATTAGATCAAAGGTCAAGGTCACAGGGGCCTTATATGTCAAAATGGTTTCCGCTGATTATCTTGAAAAGTATGTATCACAAAGTCTTCATATTTCACATAGTGATTGGTCATCACTAGTAGATGACCCCTATTGATTTTGGGGTTACTAGGTCAAAGGTCAAGGTCACAGGGGCCTTAAATGTCAAAATGGTTTCAGCTGATTATCTTGAAAAGTATGTATCACAAAGACTTCATATTTCACATAGTGATTGGTTATCACTAGTAGATGACCCCTATTGATTTTTGGGTCACTAGGTCAAAGGTCAAGGTCACAGGGACCTTAAAATGT